CTGTGTCTTCAAAGTACATTTGCATGTTGCTAATTTAGTACCTAATCCTCCAAGAAATTAAGGGTAACAAAAAGCAGCTTGAAGTTGAAGCTTAATTTGTTTGCTTTCACCCATAAATAACTCTGTTATCCAGGGTATCAGAAAATGATGTGTTCTGCTTAATCAAATATTCCAGCTAATAGATTATTAGCCTACTTAATTTCATGTATAAATCACTGATTATGAAAAATTAAACTGCAATCAAATATACTTAGCACGCAAAACAGACTCAGGTTAAATCATCATCTCTTCCTTGCTGATTCAAAATGCAACTTCCACACCTCACATGTCCCTTACAGAAAACCTAGTGTCCTGGTGAGCGGTAGTGCAAACATAGATATCTTTTCTCTTTGTTTGGATGGTTGTTGTTGTTCCTTTTTTAATAAGAATTCTCAGATTTGCCAGGCATAATGGCTCATGTCTTGAATCACTAGTACTGAGGAGGCAGAGTCAGGGAGATCTCTATGAGTTCCAGGCCTGCCTGATTTATAGGACAGTCAGTGCTAAATAATAGAGACCCTGACACACAAATAGAAACAAAAACAATAAAAAATTTCCAAATTCCATCTTAGAAATGCTTAAGAATGCCTAGGAAAAAATTAATTTTTCCACACAATATACGTTGGTCATGTTCTCCCTTCCCCCAACTCCTCCCAGGTCCCCCCTACCTCTCTACTCACCCAACTTTATGATTGTTTCTCTATCATCTGTCTATCTGTCTATATATATATATATATATATGTCTCTCTCTCTCTACAAATCTATCTATCTATCTATCTATCTCTATCTTTCTCATTCAATCCCTAAAAGAACAAAAGAACATACAATAACCCCCCTACACACACACACACACACACACACACACACACACACACAGCTGCAGAAAGACACTGAACTATAGAAAAAACTTCTGAACTAAATCAGGTGGTGTATTACAAGGATGCAATGACCTCAGTTTGGAAACCCGGATACGTGTTACATTTGGTAAGGGGTTTCCCCTTTTTTTCCGCAGGAGGAGAAATACTTTGGATTCCATCAAAATTGATCAAGATTCGATCTCCCAGGTCCCTCTCTACTCAACCAACTCTATGATTGTTTCTCTATCATCTATCTGTATATATATATATATATATACATATATATATATATATGTCTCTACCTATCTCTCTACAAATCTATCTAACTATCTCTATCTTTCTCATTCAATCCCTAAAAGAACAAAAGAACCTACAATACCCCCTACACACACACACACACACACACAAACCTCGGGAGGAAAAACCACCTCGGGAGGAGGAAAGATGACAGCTCATCCACAAAATCATATTCTATGAAGTGTAAGAAGACCTCAAATTGGAAAGGGAAGTGTTTTGTTCTTGTCTTCACAGGAAAACCCACCTCCAAACAGTGAGAAGATACTCAACATGTAGATCCCTAAAATGAGAGGATGGTTAACCAAAAGAACCATCAAACAGAAAAGAATCTGATATTTGGTATCAATGTTTAATTTTCTCAACTTAAATACTTACAAAATCTATTTCTCTTTACTTCCTAACATTCTCCTGGTCCCAATTCTCTTAAACCAGTGCTGCCTTTGGAGTTGGATTTGGCTCTCCACCTTTAAATCCAAGCATGTTTTTAAAATAAAATTCAGAGTTTCTGTATTGTATCAAGGAGCCAATTGATGTAAGACAGAAGAAAACAAAGTCTAGGGACTGTCATCTGTTTATACTCAGTTCTCTCTCTGAAAGTTTAATTTCCCTCATAGTCACTATCTTCCTTATTGTTGCCTTTCCCAGTATGCATACATATAAAAGTTGAAATTTCTTTGTTGACATTAACATTTGAGTTTTCCATAGAGAACAAAGAATTTCCTAACAGCAATCTTCAGAAACTTGGGAAAGAAAATGGGGCCCCACTTCATTGACTCCAACTGTTCTGACTTGATGCATCTGAACTGACAATTACCACCCTGAAACCGGTTTGGGACTACATTGCTCTACACAACTCCAGACTAATTAACTGATATGGTGCACCTTCTGCAATCTGGCCACAGCTTCAGACAAGAGCTTTAATCAACATTAGAAATTCATTCAAGAACTTCAATCAAGTATCTCCCATCAAACAGAGATTGAGTACAAATGTTGTAGCTAGTCCACTTGGGACTTTTACTCCAATAACATTTTCTTTCTGCAGGGTCCCATGAGGTTATCATCATCCCATTTCAGCAGGAAGTAATTTTGAGAACACTATGCTCCCTTTCCCTATTGTTGATATTACAGGATAGTTTACACCTTTTAGGGTTAGTTTTCAATTATATATGCTTGGAATTAGCAGGAGATGTACAGACTTGGGCATCTCTTTCAGATAAGTTTAAGGTTTAGATGCTTAGGATAGGATATAGGTAGATTATAATTTATTCATCCACCTTCTATGTATATATGATTTACATATGTTTGAGATAATTTAGTTTGTTTCAAGTCTAAATATTTTCTTTAGACTAAAAGGGGAATTGTAGATAGAGATCTCATGTATCGGAAGCACTGACCATGCCTGTTTGGGCGTAGTCACTGGTACATGGGGTAAGGCAGAGATAAAGGTCAAAGAAGGAAGGATCAGGCTCTCTTGGGGTTCCTGTCGAGGTCAGAGACCAGCAGAAAGCTGACCTCAGTTCTCGGTTTCTCATGTAAGTGATTTCTCTCTCTCTCTATTAAAGTTCCATACGACTTCCCTTCCCTGTATACTTGATATACTTGGTGTGGCTCGATATCCCTCATCACATGTATATATATGTGCTTTGCAGTAGTAGGTTTCCATGTGTTTTTCCATGTTTCCACAATATATGTGTGTATGTACATAATATAAATGTATATGCTTTTACAGTGCTAGCATTACATGGTTTGCTAAAAGGCCTTTATTATTTTAAAGTTAAATGGCCATCCCTATATACCCTCATGTGTCCTTCTTGTCCATTCCCTCCTGATTTAATGCTCTTATTCTAGCTTCCCCTCTGTGTCACCATAATACATTCTATAATCCCTTTCCTTGGGTGATTCTTCTCCTTCCCAGTACCTTGCTAGGTATTGTAGCTCTGCAATTATTCAGATTGTAACACATATCAAAATCTTAAAAGCTAAAATCCATATAAAAGAGAAAATATACTATGTTTGATCTTTGGGGTCTGGGTCACTCCTCAACAGTGATTTTTTTCATTGCTTCATCCATTTATCTGTGAATTTCATGATTTAATTATCTAAACAACTGAATAATATTTAATTGTATAAGTATTTCACATTTTCACTACCCATTCATTAATTGTTATATAGGTAGTTTCCAATTTCTGGCTATTATGGATAGAGTAGCAGGGCATTGATGGCACATGCCTTTATTCTCAGCACTCGGGAGGCAGAAGCAGGCAGATCTCTGTGAGTTTGAGGCCAGTCTGGTCTACAGAGCAAATTCTAGGAAAGCCTCCAAAATAATACAGAGAAACCATTTCTTGATAAAAACGAAACAACAACAACAACAAAACGAATGTTGAACATTTCTTGTACGTCTTTCTCAGCCGTTTGTTTCACCTTTGAAGACTCTCTGCTTTGTTTAGTACCTCATTTTAATTGGGTTATTGTTTTACGTGCAATCTTTTTCATTTTTGTTGTCATTTGGTTGGTGAGTTGGGACTGTTTGTTTGTTTTTGTTGTTTTTATATGTTCTAGACAATAACTCTCTATCAGGTATATAATTGGTAAGTATCTTTTGTCATGCTGTAGGCTGCTGATTTGTCCAAATGATAAAGTCTATTCCTGTGTCTGCCTAGTATGTCTGATATTGAGGTCCTTGATCTATTTGGAGTGAGTTTTGTACAGGGTGATAAATATATATCTATTTCCATTTTATCTAATTACTTTTCCCTGAAGAGATGTTGGATTTTGCCAAGAACTTTTCTGCATCTAGTGAGATGATAATGTGATTTCTATCTTTCAGTCTTCTAAGTGGTCATTTGAGTTCATTGAGTTACACATGCAAAAGCATCTCTAAATCTCTGAAATTGAGTCAATCCTTCTGATGTATTCTTGGATTCAGTGTGCAACTACTTTATTGATAATTTTTACATCAATGTTCATAAGGGATATAGATTAATAGCAGTTTTGTTGGCCTTTGTATTGCTTAGCATCAAGCTAGCAGTTGTCTCATAAAAATCATTAGGAAATGCTCACTCTGTTTCTATGGGATAATTTGAAGAGTATTGGTGTCAATTCTTTCAAGATCTTGTAGAATGCTGAGCTGAAGTCAAATGGCTCTTGGCTTTTTCTGCTTGTGATACTGTTAACAGACTGCTTCTATTTCACAAGGGTTGGGTCTGTTTAAATTGGTTATTTGATCTTGATTTAACTTTGGTAAATAGTTTATCAAAAATTCATACAATTTTGCTTAATAATCTGCATTTTAAGAATTCCCCCAGGTTTATTACTTGGTGCTTATTGTGGAATACAAAGAATATGTAAGAGAAATATGGCACTTTGAGTGAGAATGGCCCTTATGGGCTCATATATTTGAATAATAAGCCCATAGTTAGTGGACTTTATGAGAAGGATTAGAAGGTAATTTCTTGTTGGAGGAAATATGTCATTGTGGGTAGCCTTTGAGGTCTCAAAAGAATCATAAAATTCTCAGTGTATCTCTCTGTCTCTCTATTCCATGCTATAGATCATGATGTGATCTCTCAGCTACTGCTGCCTCGATGCCTATACTCCACTGTCAAGGACTCTTAACTCTCTGGAATAACAAGCCCAACTATACACTTTCTTTTATAAGTTGCCTTGGTCATGGTGTTTTGTCACAGTAATAGGAAAATAAGTAAGACAAAAAGTCAGACAACCCTGCATGTGATGATGACATTGCCAGCATCTTGTGACCTAACCAGATTGTAACTGGACCGTGAAAAATTACATATTTAGGAATTCTCAACAGAACTTTATTTATTCCTTTATCTAGTTTCCCAAAATATTTTCTACAATGTTCCAAGCATATTTTAAAGCCACAATCTTTAAATAGATACACCACCATAGAATATTTTATAAATCTCTACAGAAAGTCTTTTTTTGAGTTCTAATCCAACACAATTAATTTTGTATTTTAAATGACAGTATTTTAGAAGTTATAGTAATACACCATCAATTTTTCATAGACTTATTGCTATAGAATAAAATCCCTGTCAAAGTCATAGGAGTCACACTAAAAGAGTCTTAGAAACTGTTGACTTGAAGTACCTTCTAGCAAATTTTCTAGTGTTTTGTTGTTTCATATCATCAGAACATTGGATTCAAATCACACAAGTTACCTGATATGAAATATAACTTTCCCCTCAAAGCTGTGTTAACTTAACTCTTACATTGCCTTTCATGTTTTGTTTCTAAAGTAATTACCTGAGGGTGATATAATGGGCTAGCCTTCAAATCCCCTAGAAAGGCTGCTTTTATATGACTTGCATCCCTGTTTTATATATGTAAACATTTTAGTTTGCCCTGAATAAGCAAATCCTCTACAATTTAGGATCTACAAAGTGCCATCAGTCTTTAAATTCTGTTTCAAGCCTATATTAAAAGCTTTTATTTCTTTCCTAGTTATTTCTGAGACTACAATATAATTACATCCTTCTTACCTTCTCTTTCCTCCCTCCACATTCTCCCATATAACCCTCTGTAGGGTCTTTTAAATCCATGGCCTCTATTTTCATTAATTGTTGTTACATGCATATTCCAATTATGAAACCTCTTGGGAGCATAGCTTGTGTGTTCAAAAGCAATATGGAAGTTTAGCAACATTTAGGAAATGTAGGACTCCTATGCTTTAAGATGTCCTTAGCCATTTTCTGTCTCAGAATTTACATGTTTCTTTCATAAATATTCCTACATGATTAAATAAAATAAACATAGGATAAACTTTACTTGACAGAAAATAAGCATTATAAGATGTTTTAGGAATTATTCTACCCAAACCAGTAAATTTTTCCATTTCCTTTTTCTAGTTTTGGTTGGAATGACCATAAGCAAGGTGCTTAATCTTTAATTCTCTGTCCTCATCTATGCTGTAGTTGATATAACAATACTCAAATGTGTCAACATAGGAATAAAACCAAAATGTGAGGAGCTTTACAAACATAAGAACTTTTTATTGTCATGTTTTACTATGGAAATGTGAAATTTGGGGGTTTCGTTTTGTTTAATTTTTACACGCGTTTTCACAGTAGATTTGGTAGTGGAAAGTTTCTATAAGAGATTCTAAAATACTTAGGACTTGTAATGATTGTGCCTCCATTAAACATGTGTACTTCATTAAGTTATTCCACAAGGTACCCAAGTCATTAGTCTCTTAAATGTAGCAAGGAAGATTGTGAACTAATGGTGACAGACAATCTACAAGGACAGCTACTTTCCATAGAGTAAGTGTTCAGCTCTCATTATTATTACAAAATCCATTTGCTTTTTTTGCCAAGAGTTCTAATTTTGAAATTTTAAAGAGATTTTTACAATTTGCATGTGTATTTACTTTATATGTATTTTTTCTTTTTACACAAGTGCACAGTACAAATTGACTGTCAAACATTCACATTTAGTTCATTTAGCACAGAGCCCTGAATCACTGTCTTGGCAATAATGAATTTGCTTTCCAGATTAAATCAAACTAATTACATCCTGGGTAGTTGACTGTGAAGTCATATGACACCACTTCTAATTTGTTTATGCCATATTACTGATTGGTTAAAAGAAGATCTACCCATATGTTGAACAGTAGAGAAGGTGGTTGCCATTATACACATTAACATACTCATGATTCAAAAATTCTGTGCCTGATGGAGATATTCCTTCCTGTGAGGAAGGTTTGACCCAAAAATGCTTATATTAGAGTCGGTTCTTACTGCATTATACTAGGATTACCACCTGCAAACTCAGTCAGTTGTATATTACAAACTTGTTAAGTTTTGTCAATACTTCTTAGAATCCTTTAAAATAGAAAAGAAAGAGGGACAAAGTCAATTTATCATAGCTAATACATGATATGAACATCTGCTCATAATAATGTAGGCAAAATTAGCTTAAGTCTATCAGGCACAAAAAGAATTTAAATGGCCTAAGACAAAACATCCAGATTGATGATGGTTGCTTCAAGAATGTCACTGAACTTCATTTTTTTTATCATCTGCAATCTACGTCCATAATTCCAGTCATAAACTCAGTGGTGGTATCGTCAAAATTATGTGATATCCTTGTCTACACTCTTTAGCCTGGAGACTGCATACAGAAATAAGAGATGCAGTGAGAATTCTTTCTCGATATCCTTCCTGCTATAACTTCTCTTCTCATCTGGACTTTTACCCCTTTCTAATATAATGTACAATCTTCTTGAACTTTACCTAGTGTATTTCTATCAAGTCCATCATTTTAAATGAAGACTTTGCTATCAAAAAGTGATAGTCATAATTTCACTGGAAAGCTTTTGACAAGCCATCCTAGTTATAAAGATCCTCTTATTTTATCTCTCCTTATGTTCTTCCATGTCTTCTATTGAGAGCTATTTTGAAAGCAACTTTCCCCAAGAGATTTCACATCCTGATAATTATACATATTAAATGTTTGTGATCATTTGGTATGTTACTTAACTATTCTCAGTCTTAGCATAGTCATTGTCTTCATTAGGTTTTCTGTTGCCGTGAAGAGACACCATGACCATGGCAACTCTTGTAAACAACAAAAATAAACATTTAATTGGGTTGACTTACATTTTCTGAGACTTAGTCCATTATCATTGTGGTAAAACATTGTGATTTGCAGGCAGACATCTGAGAATTCTTACATCTTGACCCCAGGCAACAGGAAGTGCTCTGAATGTCATAATTTCCATAAAGTGCATACAAATATTTGGTTTCTTAACAAGCATGCTTAAGCAACTTTATATCCAAGTACTGAATGAATGTTTTGAAGATGTGCATTTGGTGACTATTGCGAATAACAGGAGATAGCTTCCTTCTCAACCCCCATTTTTCTGTTCCATTTCTCCTCCTGAAAAGCAGAAAACTGCTCTGTTTAGTCATACCCAGGATGCATTTTCAATACAATTATCATTGATCTGCAATATACAAAACTCCATGGAATGGAACTAGAAAACAAAGCCACAATCCTTCAAAGCCAAACTATTTTGCTCTTACTCATGCTGCAGGAAAACGTAGTCCCTAGGGAATTCTCTCCAGTATTTACTGGACAGCTGAGTGATAATGAAATCAAAGGTCATGAGATAAGATGTTTGGCGCATGAGCCCCAAGCAAGTACTCTAATGAAGTTGAGCAGACAACTTAGTTTTAGAACATCAGATTGGTGACCAGCTTCCCCCAACAGAACAAGCCAATTCTTCTGCCATGGCTCTTAGAGTGTTTATATACTTAGCTTCTTCAAAAGCTTTATAAGAAGTGATTCACCAGATTCCACTTGAGCTGTGTGTGAGGGTGGCAAGGAATTCTGGGCAGTGAACATTGAACTAAGGCACCTGTAACACTGAGCAACCCTTCTTCCCCAACTGAGCATTCTCTATTCCCTAACGAATTTTTCCCTTTGGTAATTATCAACATGTATCTTGAAATTTTGACAGCTCTAATTAAAAACAAAGAGTTATGAAAATAGAACTTTTCTATTTTTTTAATAGATTTTTTAGTAAAATATATTCAGAATTTGGTTTCCCCTCCTATTACTCCTCCCATGTCCTCCCCATTTTCTCACCCACCCAAATCCACACTTTCTTTCTCTCTCACACTAGGATACAAACAGGAAACCCTTAACAATGGGCAGTTCTTGAAATTTTTCAGAACTCCACGTCGAATGTGATGTGAGACCAAATAGATGAGACTGAGAAGAATACTCAGAGTTCAAATAAATATGTGCTCTACAGAAATATGTTACAAAGATACAGGCTATCGATGCCAACGTTTTATACTGAAATCAGGAAGTTAAAATTCCAGATTTCCATAAACCCATCAGCATAGTTTATCCACTCAGAAGAAAATTACCGGGAGGAAAATGAAAGAACAGAGGTACCCACGAAGCAGTGACACTGTCCTGCATTACATCATCATGGCTCTTCACAGCTAGTCTTGGGGGCTGATGGGATATGGTGATTAAGACTGTGCAGTCAGAGCCGGGCGTTGGTGGCGCACGCCTTTAATCCCAGCACTCGGGAGGCAGAGGCAGGCGGATCTCTGTGAGTTCGAAGCCAGCGTGGTCTACAGAGTGAGTTCCAGGACAGCCTCCAAGGCCACAGAGAGACCCTGTCTCGAAAAACCAAAAAAAAAAAAAAAAAAAAAAAGACTGTGCAGTCATGTGAGGAATTGAGGACTCCAACCTGGTGGTGATCTACTTCCAGGGTTTAAGTACTATTTCCCAGTGAATAGTTTTAAGTGGTTAATGTTTGTTTATCCAGTATGCAAAACTTTTCTTTAAACAAAACCCTGATAGAGATAGGAAAAGACACAATGAAGCACAAACATGGATCAAGAAATTGGTAAACACGTAGCACAGTGGACAGTCACAAACGTCTAAAACCCAGAGCATGCACAAATATGAGGATTGATAATCAATTAGGAGAGGAGAAGATGAAAAGGCTGTGCTGCATGAGAAGAAGCTGCTGGCTAGGAAATTCTTAGACAGTTAGATTTTAGTATTGTGGATAAATGGGTCAGACTCCCTCTGCTTCACAGCTGAGAAGAATTGTCAAGAATATGCATTCTCCTGATTGAAGTTTAAAAACCAGTGAGTCACTTCAAATTTAGATGCCTCTGCATATGATGACCACATGTGTCTCAGAGTTCTTTAATAAATTAAATGCAAACAAATGACCGAGATCAAACTCTTCACTAGCTACTTGGCTTTGATGAGTTGTCATCACTTACTTCTGTTCTCTATAAATAGATCAGGCATGATGATTTCAGTTTGGTGCATAATTATTCCACATTCATTGTGCACAAACTCGAAAGTAAAGATAGAAATTATTTTTGCATGGCCCTGGACAACATAAAGGCAAACTATATCAATGGATGTAGTTTCATTCAAAGAAGATTAATACTACTCCAAAGACTGGCAAGTACACAGAGCAGTTTTTAAACATAATCCACACATATGATGGGGAAGCAGGCTTAATCTTGATATAGTTTGAACACATCTTTATGAGTTCTTTAATTTGAACATCAAACTTTCTTAATTGGTATTTATGAATTCATATTCTCATAACTCCATGTCTTCTACAAACAAACAAACAAAAAAACCAATGAGGTAAACCTTAGGAAGAATAATTATTTCTAGAAAAATAGAGATATTCTGTGGGCACCTTTTCTAATATACATGATATTCTTTATCCACACAAAGTTTAATATTATTTTTAATGTATTCACCTTACCAGAATTTTGTCTTTGCTCTGACCTGAAGGCCACATACTGTTATTGCCTTGTTAATCTTTCTGCTTTCAAGCTATTTTTTCTAAATTGCTGTTAAAATTCCTTAGCTTCATATGATGACTCTCCTTACCAAATTTTTTATATTAGAATGTCCCAGAGATATGAATCAAAATGATATTTAAATAAACTGCACTGCAATGACATAACTTAAATGGTGTGATATTTCCAAGTTTCAAATTCTCAAAAAAATTTTTATAGGAAAAACAACTGCAAAATCAGTTAATGGATGCACACATGGAAATACTTTAATCTTGGAGTATTCATAAGGGTGTTACCATGGAAGTCAGTGAGTAGAGACCTACAACAAGGAGTATAAATGATCACACCATACCTGGCTTCCACTTATTAAAACGCCTACTCTTCCTGCTTCCCTTATAGCAGTGTTGATATTAAGAAAAATGGATTTAAGGACTGTGCTCAAGCTGTTTGCCTTGAATAATTAAATATGTTTCATGTACAAGAAAGGAGATGATCCTTGAGAGAATAGTGCAAAGAACCAAAATCAATGTTTATCCTTTAGTTGATAACTATTAAAGCTCTCCTCTAATAGTGGAGAGGTGGCTCGGCACTTAAGAGCTCTTTTATTAGAGCCAGTTTGGGTTTCTAGGTACCATATCAGGTGGCTCAAAACCACCTATAACTCCAGCTCCAAGGAGTACAACATCTGTTAGCCTCAGTGGTCACCCACACACACATAAATATAAGTGAAAATACCACAGACCTTTGTTTTCTTTCTCTGAACCATGTGTGAGGAAAAAAAGCCTAGGTCCTGGCACCTGCTGTGACCTGGTAGACAGAAAGAAAATCTCCTCCCTGAATTTTTACTCTTTAATGTAGTGAGACACCTGACTGTGCTTATGTGGTGCAGACCACACCCAAACAGGTGTGTACATGAGAGTCTGGGACTTAGTCTGGCGTCCTGGAGACGCTCTCGCTCTTGCAGCTGGTCGGGTCACAGGGAACATCCTGGGAAGATCCTTGAAGCTGGAACCTGTGGCAATCACCCACCTCTTGTGTAAATGCATTCTCCCCAAATAAACTTCACTTAACCTGTACTGAGTGTAGTGAATTTTGATATCCATGCAATACATTACTTTTCATCCCTGGACTGGAAATTAATCCTTAAACGACTGCTAGAAATCTGCCATGACAGTAAGTAAAGGAAAAATGTATAAGTAATCCCAGAAGCAAAAGTGTTTGTACAAACAAAGCAGGGATGTCTTGGTTTTATTTCAGCATAGGCCAGATGATTTTCTTGAAATTTTTAGATGTTTTTTGCAGCTTACACTTTCATGTCTAGCTGAAAGGAAAACAGGGTGAGGTTCTTTCAGGGCCACCTGATTGCTGAGGGGCAGGTTGCTAGCTAAATGGATGCAGGCAAATTTCGTGTTCTAAAAGAAAGAAGAAAAATAATGTAGTCTGCAACTGACTTCTGTGTATTCTCAGCAACTAGGCTCTTAGAAAGACAGTCTGTGAAATTCCCTCAAGTGAAGAGGTAGGAACTATCCCTGTGTTCTCTATAACCTGTATGCAACTTAGCCTTAGTGGTTTCATGGCAGTCATTACTGACTTGCAGTTTGTTTGCTTCAAGATGGAAAAAAAAAAGAAACAATCATACTTCAATATCTTATTTTAGATGTTTATGGCAATAAAAGGACAAGGGTATAGCAACCTGAATCATAGAACTGAAGGTCTTTGTTAGGTTTCATGCCATTTTCAGGGAGTTTGATAAAGTGAAAATGCAAAACTATGCAAATACTTGAGAAGATATCATTCAAATTCTAAGACCAAAGGTTAAAAAAAAAACCCGAGTAACTCACAACTCTCTCTGCAATGGGCAAACTCTTCAGCGTCCCTTCCATCAATTAGAGCCCTTTATAGCTGCATACCTTAATGGTCATTGCCTATAATACACATCTGCATCCTTTATACCTGCATACCTTGATGGTCATTGCCTATAATATACATCTGCTTGTTTTACACCTGAATACCTTGATGGTCATTACCTATAATACACATCTGCATAATTTAGGGCCAATGTAAAACCCCAAAGAAGGTAACATTCATTCCTTGCCAAATAATACATATCTTTACCTAATAGCTTTAAGGGGTTTAATTCAATATTACCCAACACAAAATCTATGATGGTGGTGATGATGATGATGATGACCATGAATAGCATGAGACATGGTAAACTAGACATACATGACAGTTTCATAAGGACCTACATCATTGGAGGGTCACCTCAGTTTGGACTGATACAGATATACTTTAATTAGTTTCAACTTTTTCCTTATGTTGGAAAGTAAATGAAATACACTGTACATATGTACAGCATCAACAATCCTACAGATAAAGGGAAAGATACTTATTTAGTAAGAGGAAGATAAACACAATGGGGAACTCCAAAGACCTTTCTCCTTAGTGCTTTTGAGCCTCAACCTTATCTTGAGAGCTAAAAATACTTTATAACCTCAGGCAAAAAGCTATAGAAGATTCTCAATTACAATTACATCAATGTTTGCAAGGATTCCAAGCAAACTGCAAAATGGAAGCTAAGAC